TAAGATCACTTAGAGACATCAATGTACATTTTCCACCATAACATTTACCAAACCCAACACAGCCTATCATTACTAGGGGTCGCCTGTACCCACCTGTCACCCCTAAATATGAGGAGGGGAGGAAAAAAGATTTTTCAATATAGTAATCTGAAAATGTGCTTCCGCAACTTTACTCCACAGGTAAAACAAGGGGCATGTTGCACGTCACTATCAAAGTTGCATAAAACCCCAACATACTGGTTTTAAACTGCCTCTCCTGAGAATGTCTGAACCTAAACTGCCCTCTGGGAATAGCAATGTGGTTGCTTTGTCATGGTGGAAAAAATCCCATTGAGTCAAGAAAGCTATTAATACAATCACCAAGTCAAAAAAAAAATCAGGATCTTATTCCCTTCTTCAAGCATTTGGTATAGCGTTGTCTTTACAGCAATTGTAACACTAGTCTTTCCAAACAGGACATATTTGTAGGTGTGCATAAAAGCTTTTCTCTTGTAGAGAGAAGACCTAAAGGTCTTATGGACATAAGAACACTGCAAATGAACATGAAGTATGTCATGTCAGCTAGTAGTGTCATAATACTGAAAAAAGGTTACATTTCCATACTTCCTAGTGAAAACAGAACAAATTCCAAAGTGTTTCAGGTGTCTCAGTCCAGTTTGTCTGAACATAAGAACATCTGGTTGTATTTATAGATTCTCTAGCAAGGGCAGCTTAGTATTTCCATGAGCAGGCAGCAAAAACAAAAGCAAACAAAAGCAAGAAGTCACCACATTGTACAAACTTAGTATCTCCGTTTCAACTAAAATGCTCGTCCAACAGGCAGGATGAATCCTTCGCCCAGGCAGATTCTCAGTTGTTTCTCAAACCTGTCTGATTGAGGTAGATGATTTACTTCTGCAAAGTGAGGTAGAACTTCAAGAAAAAAATAGTGGCATCTCTAGTTGTGCATTTTGTACCACAGCAAACTGGGTTTCAAACTCCCAAGGACTCAAAGACCAAAGGTACAATATTTGTCTAACGCAAGTACCAGTGTTCATTTTTTATACAGCTCCAAACTGTTTGTCTAAATATCTCTATCTTTAAATACCCTATTACCTTTTGGCACCATTTGGCTTACACTCCTTAAAAAAACAAACACCAAAACAAAACACAATACACTTTGGCACAATATTTTTTTTTAAACCACAACTGAACAAAGAAATCTTATAATCAAAGTTATGGCAAGATAAGCCTATAAAGCCTGCTCTCTTCGGAAATTAATTTTGGTTTAACTGCAACATAACAGACTGGGCCCATTTTCCTGCAATTCCAAGGGAAGGCCACATCCAAGTGCCTTGTTCTTCTTTCTCTCAACTTGGTTATGTTTGGCCCCAATACGTATTAGATTTCAGGTGTTGTCATCTTTCCCTTGCTTTCTTTACAAGTTTAAGGTTCATGGGCTTCCTTAAAGAAGTTATATTTAAAAGCTACTGAATAGAAAGGAGTGAATTATCGGAAGGACCTGCATTATCAAGTACTGAGTCTGCTTCAGCTTGCTGCTGAAGCTCCTGCTTAGATAGCTCTGAGAAAGGACAAGATTGCCTTGTAGGCTGAACCCAAACCAGCCGTACTGACTGCTGACAGCGTTTTGTCAAGCAAAAGGTTTACTGAGCGCCACTGGTGTAACCTGGCACAGTGAAATTCCTTTGGGAGTTCTAGTAGACAGGTCTGTCACCCACATCCGTTGTTCCCAATGTCAGAGCTGAGAGAAAGAGGCACAAGCTCACCTCACCCATCTCCAGGCTGCTTCTACTAGTTCAGGAGATTACTCCAAACACTTGTTCAGTTTGCAATCCAGCTTCAAAGCCTTGCTTTTTCTCTCTGCAAACATGTATGTCATGATACTGGGGCATTAACCTGAGAACACGCATAGCCTGAGAACATGCATGGAAAAAACAGAGCAAGGTTTGAATCTCATTTAAGTATTACTTTTTAAAAGCCCCTAAGGGGAATTTGATGTTGGCATTGTATATTACCGCTACTTATTTTCATTGCATATAAAACACTCCATTTTATAAGCTACACTACCACTTTTCAATGAGACCAAGTGTGCTTAGCACTATCTATGACAACGATAGGGAATTATTTTGGGTAGCTAAATAGCAGTGTTTTTAAAACGAAAAAGCTCCCCAATACATGAGGTCAAACACTTGAGGTTTGGTTTGTAAGCAAATCCCACTGAATTAGACAGGAACTTAGAAAGAGTTAAAGTCGTTCCTCTTCCTGACAGAGCTGGACTGGGGTTGTGCAATGGCTCCATACAAAATAGCAAAGGGCAACTTCAGTGTCCGGCACCTTCTACATGGTGCAGGCTGGAGAGGGGCGAAAAGGTTTCTGCAGTTCAACGCAATCCTGAACGCACACTTAATATTTTTTAATGCCTGGAAGACAACTCCTTTCTAGTCCTAGAGAAGGAGGAAACCCAATGAGCATTAAAGCACAGGAGCATTTCTAGCATACTCCAACACTGTCAGCCACTCTGGTCAAGATATTGGAGACCTGGCGTTTTTAAGACATGATAGCATAAATGCAAGGACACTGCAAACTAAACATTAAAGCTTTTTAAACCAGTTTTCTTTGGTATCTAGAGGTCTTGCAAGCTCTCAGTTTTCACAGCCCAAGTTGCAAATAATTCTTGGACTGAACAGTACAAGACAATATGGACATCTGTCACAACTGTTAGGCCACTCCCAAGAAGGGAAGCATATCCACAAGCAAAACTTTTAAAAGTCAAAGGTAAACTAGCTTTCTCATCCCCATATTTTGAGTGGCCACACAAATTTAATGACAGACATCTGTATAAAAGATTATCCTTTACAGACTATTTTTAAACCATGCTATCCTAAGATTAAGCCTAACTGAAACAAACTGCTTTGAAGAGTTTGCTTCCTTGAGGCTTTGGCTGAAAGACAGCACAGTTATTTTATCTTAATTCAGGTGTTCTTCCTCACCCTTCTTTCAAAAGATATTTTGCCATCTCATGAATCTGTCTCTTTCTGGTCCTTCAGTTTAAGCTTCCTCTAAGTGGCAGCTATCTGTCTGCACACATCATCAGGATTTCTACAAAACCCAGAAAGTTCACTCTCCTTGGAGGGGAAAAGCAGCAAGAAGGAAAGTGCACCTTGTGATTGCTCACAAACTTGTAGAGAGCCTTTCAATCTCAGGTCACTTTTGTGCATGGTGGCTGGCAGAGAGATGAACCCTTTCCTTGAAGGATGGTTAAGGCTCTTCAGACTTTTTGATAACAACCATGTTTGTGTTTCACAGATCTTCTCTTGCAAACAGTACAGTAAATCTCATGGCATCTCCAAGCCTAAGAGTACTGTTACGTGAGTTTTTCCATTGTGGAGAGACAGAAAGGCTCTCTGTTCCCTACTTTAACTATTCTTGTTTGCCACCAAAAGGCCTTATCCAGAGCGAGAAGCAACAGCTCTGTAGAGACCATATCTGCATTAACAGCTAAACTAGAATGAAATGAAGAATAAAACCAAATACTTCCAAGGACCCAAAGTCACATTTTGCTAAAGAGATCTCTATTCTCCCCAAAAGTTTCCACTTCTCAGAAAAGCTTTATTTATATCCCTGAAAGGGTGACCTTTCCCCTGCCTCCAAGCTTTTAAGGATCATACACATTTATTTTACACAGAATTCTTTGGTACTGCCCTGGGGAGAAAAAAAGAGAAAAAAGAAAAAAAAAAAATCAGTCAGCAAAGTTTTGTCTTGATGCAGTTTGCCTTATGCTGGTCCTGGTAACTTTTTACTTGGATCTGTAGCAAGAGATACACACAGCTACAGGCCCACCTCACCCCAAAAAATACAGTTATCCTTCCCAAATTTTTCAGTCCAGCTCTTTAGGGAAGCCAGAAGATGAAAAAATATTTTTGTCACTGATAGTTATTGCAGTCCTTTTTAAACACAAAAACCTGTTGACTACTTCAAAATGCACCCTGAATCTCCAAAGCTGTGCTTATTTCTTACTTTTGGAAAAAGGTACCACTTCTGTTCTAACAAATCCATCAAACGTTATTCCCTTAATATCTCTATGGGGCAGGGTAAAAAAAAAAAGCTAGTCATTTCACAAGAAAGTAAATCAAAAGGGTTTGATTTTTCCCTGTTTCAATGCTCCTTGTAACCTCTTCTGTTATTCAGATTAGGTGCACTGATAAAAAAAGAAACAATAACTTTTTAAAAACTAATTTAGCTTTCAAAAGAAAGGGTAAAAGAAATACTCAGAAACAGGATACATTAAAGGAAGCCTTGCTTTTTATCTGAACTTTACAACGACCGCACTAAGCCAACTAGAATGAACAATTTGGTTTAAACTTAAAGAATTTTTGTGCATTTTCATCAGCTTCGCTTTGTGCTGTTGGATTACTGTGTTTCAGAAAAAATACACAGAAATGCCAAAAAGATGCAAACTTGCTCTTCCCGGCAAGTGAATCCCACTCACTTCCGCAAAACGTTCAAAGTCGTCTGGGAACAAGATGCTGTGCTCACCAGTAAATCAAACACACTGAGGTATAAAAAGGAGAACAGGAAAAAGTTCTCTGCTGCAGCAGCAATTCAAAAAACAAAAGTCCCCCTCCCGTGTCCCCACGCACAGAACTGCAGTATGGTCAAGAACACAAATTCTCTACAAAAGCCTACAACCATTTTTCCCCATTTAAAAAGTTACATAGAGCCTTTTTTGGCTTAGTCTACAGAACTCACCACACAAACCACCTAATGTGCACAGCAACACTTGTTTGTGCATGAAACCCCATCGGGGGGAGAGGTAAAACGTTCTGAACTGTTGAGTGTGTGGGGACAGGGAGGGTGGCAAGAAACCAGGGAGGGAAGGGAGGACAATGAGGTAGATAGACTTTAACTTTACAGGCTCACTCCCTGCAGGAAAGATAAGTACATTCATCTGTAAAAAAATTAAAGATGAGGTAGGTTTGAATCAACGTTGTATTTTTTCATTTTCTCTTAGAAGAATTTCCCTGAGACAGTTTCTTCCCAATTCAAACACAGATTAGAAGACGAGAATTCGATTGTTTCCAAAGTCGACCACAACAATCATCCCATCAGGGGTGACGGCTATACCTGAAGGACGGTCCATCTGACCAAAGCCGCTTCCCTGAGTGCCAAACTTGCATAAAAAGCTACCATTTGACTCGAATATCTGCACCCGGTGGTTCCTGGAATCAGCCACGATGATGCGTCCCTCTTGATCCACCGCCACTCCCTGCGGGCGCAGGAACTGGCCGTTCCCGGTGCCCTCCGAGCCCAGAAAGCGCGCTGACTGGCAATCCGGATGGATGACCAGGAGGCGATGGTTGTTGAAGTCTGTCACTACTAAGTGGCCCTCGTGATTGAAAGTCACACCTCTGGGGGAATCAAAGTGCTTCCAGAGCGCCCCTTCAAAGCCATACTTGTTAAGGAACACTCCGTCGGGCCCAAACAGCTGAACGCGATGGTTCCTCGTGTCAGAGACCAGGATCTTGCCCTCCGCGTTGACGGCCACATCCCATGGGTAATTGAATTGCCCGTTCTTGGTTCCTTTCTCCCCAAACTTCAGAATGAACTGCCCCTCGAACGTGAAGATCTGGATGCGATGATTGTCCTTGTCGGCTACGCGTCACAAGCCACGCCAGCAGGTCGATCGAACTGGCCCGGCCGGGAGCCCAGCGTGCCGAACTTGTGATGGAAGGTCCCGCATGGTTTGAATACCTGGATGCGGTTATTACTGCGGTCGGCAACAATGATGTAGCCTTCTTTGTCTACACTAACCCCCCAGGGGCGGCAGAGTTTGCCATCGCTGTCTCCCTCACTGCCGAAGGAGAGCCCCGGCAGCCCAATGCCAATGTAGCTGCGCCCAGATTTCACCACGACTTTGAAGGGGCTGTTCTCAATGTGTTGGTTGCACATCATCACGGATACCAGGTGCTCTCCCTCTAGCTGTGGACGGTAACTAACCAGGTAGGTCCCGTTCTGCTGATCACTGACGTCTGCCCCGAAAAGGTTTCCATCCGGGCCCATCACCACTGCAGAGATCATGTCACCTCCCGAAAGGCGAGGCTCACCGTCATGGTCGTAGCCTATCACTGTGAAAGAGGCCACTTTGCCCTGCAGTGCACGCTTGAGGCCCTCCCCAGTGGCTTTGGTCAGAGGAGCGAAAGCCCCACTGCTGACAAAGCCCATGGATTTAATGGCCATATACAGTGCCTGGTCAGGGGGAGTGAACATGATCCTGTCATCTTCCTGTGGCTGGAGAAGGCCTCTCACACTCTTCAGCTCCTGCACCTGAGCCAGCATGCGGTCCCGAGCCAGGAGAATATCCATGGTATCCTCCTCCAGGACCTGCTGAACAGCACTAATGGTGTTGTCCAGCTTATTTAGGTTCTGACGTAACTTTTCAACTTGCAAGTAGAGTGACTTAGCCTTGACTTGACGAATCTTTTCCACCTTGGGGGGGTTAGGGTGGAGAGAAAAGCACACTTACATCAGGAAAGACAACCCATAAACACAGAAACATTTCCTAATGTCATTCTTCTACATAAAAACCGGTTGTGCAGTTGTTGCAGCATGTTGATACAGAACTGCAGAACAAGCCTCTAAAAGTTGCAATGTAGAGAAGCAGAAGTGAGGAAAAGTTATTATTCACCCAAATTCAGGATGATTCTTCTCTCCCATCCTCCAGCCAAAATTGTACATTCTTACCCTGCAGATTTGCGACATCAGAGTGCCATTTGAAAGAGTCACTTGCTTACTAATAGTGATTTGCTTCATCAAGTGCTGTTGTTTCCTAGTTGCAAGGTACTTGACAGATCATTTGAAGGCACATCTTATCTAGACACTCCAGGGAGGACAGAAGTTACTGCAGGCTCTCAAGAAGAGAGCAGAGGCTGAGCCTGATCTCACCAGAATTGAGACCTGTTTCAGAAGGCAGGCGGTTACCACACATCGCTGAGGCTAGGAGTCACCAACAGCTAAGGCACATGGGCTCGTGTCATTCCCCTGCCTGCCAGAACTGTCTTCATATGACTAGATAATACCAGACATCTGTCTCCAGGGATTTTTAGGGTCCAATTATTTTAATATTTTCTTGCAAATACTGGCAGTCACATCAAGCTTGTGCTTTACAACAGGATGCTTTACAGTGTCACTTCAAATGACACAGAAGGTTGCTGCCAGTCCTGCTTGGGGGACTGAAGCTCAAGCAAAAATGGTTTGTTTGTAACTATTTTATACAAGCCTGTGTTTATCTTTACTTGTGAAAAATCACTTCAGACCATCTGGCAAAGACACCTGCCTTGTAAAACTAATGAAACATGTAATTGCTTTACTGTTACAAAAATACATTTCCTTATGTCTGAATACCTGCTTGGCTGCAGAACAATACCAGCAATGTATTTTAATGAGGGACAGCTCACTGTCTGAAGACTCCTTGGTTATATAGTGACTAGATAAGATGTACAAACATGCTATTTCATTTAAAATTAAGGAACACAGGTTTTACCAGACTTAAAAAAAAGCCAGAGATGCTTCCTCCAATAGATTTCCTAAAGAGATTACTCATCTTGGGCCTCAGCTTAATCTTTGGCACTCAAAATTATTCACTAACACTCTTTGCTTGAGGGCTTAATACATTCAGCTTTTTTTGCTAGAATGATTTCCCATCAATACCAAGTTTCCTTCTTAAAATATTGTTTTATAACCCAAAGAGAATTTGCTTTCAGTGCAGACATTCCAGTAAAGTGCATTTATGCAGCCTCTTGGAAGCTTAGGGGAAGCTCTTCTCCTGTACTAGCAGTATCTCAAAAGAGAAGGCTGCCAAGCTTCTTGGGGAAGGCTAACAGTGGAAAGTGAACTAATCTCCTTCAATTCAAATATCTCAGAAAAAGCAGCATTAGGTGTACAGTAAATATATTAAGTGCATTTTTAATCTTGCTGCTGATAGTTCTTATAAAAAAACTAGAGAAAAAACAAGACTTCTCCTTTAGGGGATAGTCTTGCTGTACTTGCAGTAGTCTTGACTGTACTTGCTGTACTTGGAGTAGTTCCTTGCAATCAACTCTTACCAGAAAGGTCATTTTGCTGGCAACAGATATTAAACCTAAAAATTACTGTTCCAGTCAGTGTTGATAAAGTACTTCTTCCCTGCCTCTTCTCTAGCAGGATGGCACTGCTTCTTGGCAGTCTGTGCCTCACCAACCTTAAGTATGTGCCATCCTGCCTGGCTCTGCCAGTACAGCCACACAGCACCTGGTTTCCTGACACTCTATCTGGTGCGACTCCATGTTAGAGGAGCATTCCAAATTTACTCCTAAACTTTTCTCATCTTGACCACACATTTTTGCTCCCCTGTACCAGTACTTGCAAACATGTGGTCATAGAACAAGCGAGTTCGACTCAGTGATCTAAAAGACCTAACCCAACAGCAGAGAATGGGTTTCCGTTCAATTCTACAAGTGGGACCCAAAGGCCCAATCCAAACTAATCTGTGCTAAGCAAGCAGAGAAGAGCCATGACCACTAAGTTACCTTTCTGGAATAAGAAACTCTGCTCTTACTTCCTTTCCTCCTCTCAAAATACTACACATGCATCATGGCTGAACTGAGTGCAGGAGTTCGGGATTGTGCAGATACTCTTGCTAGAGAGCATTCTTCTACTAGTAGCAAAAAAAAAAATCAGAGAGACACTGTCTTGTTTGAGAGTAAGTTTTTAGGTGTTGGGACAATGGAAGTTAAATCTTACAGAATTTCTACTCCTCTTTCTGAAAAAAAGGAGACAGTACATACAGCTTTGCTCCTTCTCTTTCATTTATGAGGAGCAGATGTGGTAAGAACACCCCGGAGTACGTACCTGACTCTGCAGCTCGGTATTACCGAGGCTTTTAAAGACATCCTTCGCACGAGGCGTTTAAAGGCGCGCGCAGGGAGCCGCGCGGCGCGGCCGGCA